CACTCTTAGGTATTTACCCAAGATAAATGAAAACATACATACACACAAAAAACTCAGTATGAATGTTTAGGGAAGCATTTTCATAATGGCCTAAGAAATGAAAACAATCCTAATTTCCATCAACTGGTGAATGAACAAACAAAATGTGACAGTGTACAGTCATACAATGTTATACTATTCAGCAATAAAATAAATGAACTGATACATGTGACAATATGGGTGAAACTCAGAAAGCTCACGCTAAGAGAAAGAAGCCAGAACCAAAAAACTATACACTGTATGATTCCATTTATATTAAATTTCTAGAGAAGGTAAATCTATGGAAACAGAAAGCAAACTGGTTGTTGCCTGGGTCTTGGAGTGGGAGCAGAGACTGAATGCAAACGAGACAAGAGAACTTTTGTGGATAGTGGAAATACTTTAAAACTGAGCTGAGCCGGGTTTGGTGGCTCAGCCTGTAATCCCGCGCCTTTGGGAGGCTGAGGTGAGTGAATTGCCTGAGCCCGCGGGTTCGAGACCCACCTGGGCAGCGAGACTTCATCTCTACAATAAATCAAAAAATCAGCCAGGCGTGGTAGCACATGCCTGTAGTTCCGGCTACTCGGAAGGCTGAGGCAGAAGGATCGCCGGAGCCCAGCAGGTCGAGGCTGTGGTGGCCGGGAGCGGCCACTGTACTCTAGTCTGGGCGACAGAGTGAGACTCTGATTAAAAAAAAAAAAAAAAAAAAAATTGAGCTGAAGTCAGTCGTAGTGGCTCACACCTGTCGTCCCAGCTACTTGGGAGGCTGAGGCAGGAGGATCACTTGAACCCAGGAGTTCGAGGCTGCAGTAAGCTATGATCATGCCACTGTGCTCCAGCCTGGGTGACATAGAGAGGCCCTGTCTCTTAAAAATAAATAGAACTGAACTGTGATAATGGAACTGTACCCTTACATACATAGATGAATTTCATAAATTATGCCTCAATAAAGCTTTTTTTAATTTAAAAAAATCTCTTTCAAAACGTTTCTCTCAGTATTATTATCAAAGTTTTATTCCATTTTGAATATTTTGGGTCAAGACATCTTTTTCATTTCCAAAAAAGGTGGCAGATTGAACACGTGTTTCTCTTTCCCCCATATCTCACTAACATTAGAGTTATAAGAGTAATGAGACGAGACAGCTAGGACAAAGATGAGATAAGAGACAGTGAAATCATACTTTGGGGGTCAGAAAAGCACAAGGAGAAATGATAGCTGACTTAACTGACTCAAGAAAGCTGAATCCTCAGCCAGAAGAGGGAAAAGCCTGGAAGCAACACTGTTGCCACAGATCCTCCAAATGATTCATGAATCCACAGCATCAGTGAGGGTAGAGATTGTACTATAAATAAACACAGGACTGGTTGGTTCAAGAAACTATTTTAAGATGCAATGAGGGCAACCCCTTCGGGTCCTCTCCCACTGTGGGAGCTTTTCTGTCCTCTCAATAAATCCTGCTTTAAAAAAAAAAAAGAAGAAGCAATTAGACACGTAGATCCCCTCCCAGTTTCACATCGCTGGGCAAGTACCTCTCTCTTCCCTAAGACTAGCAGTTTTTCTTCCCTGGAAGGAGTAAAACAGAGAGTCTTTGGACTAGAGGAACGCTCGAGAGCACCAGGGTCCCATATTGTAACCAGGACGATGAGGTGAAATATGCCTACAAACTGAATATTAACACCCCAGCTTTCTTCTCCAATCAGTACCCAGAATGCTGTTCATCGGGCTCATGCTCCCCCTGCCACGCCCCCCCAAGCCAGAAGAAGAATCCTAGGAAAACCCAAACAGCCAAAGAGAACAGGTAAGGTGCAGGCAACAGGAGTTTCCTCAAAGAAATGGCCCAGCCACTTGAATGAACTTCATAGTCTTCCAGTGCTGTCCACAGGCTTGGAGGAACTTTACATAGTTACAGACAAAGATCACAGGACAATGAGGAATGTTGCTAAAATGAAAAAGAAAAACCAAAGCAATAGCATACAAGCAGAAGGAACTCAGAAGAAACCAAGACTAAACAGGAGACGAAAACTTTTTAAAGCATTACAATTATCCTGAGAGAGATTTTTTAAAAAGCTATTTAGTCCAAGAAAATAATTTTATATTTTTTAAAAGATCAGAGTCAGAAATAGCCTGTGGAAATTTAAAATATGATACCAAAATTTAAAACTTCAAAAAAGAGTTGGAAGATTAAGATGAGAAAAACCTTCTGGAAAATAGGACAAAAAGAAATAGGAAATAAGAAATAGAATATAAGAACATTTAAGGAGAGTCCAAGAAATCAAATATAGTATCCAGATCGCTGAAGTATTCATAAGACAGAACACAAAAAAACAGAGGAAATAACATCATCAAAAAAGTTCAAGAACTTTTTTTTTTTTTTAGTTGGTGTCTCTCTCTGTCACCCAGGCTGGAGTGCAGTGGCATGCTCACGGCCACCAAAACCTCAGCCTCCTGGGTTCAGGCGATCCTTCCACCTCAGCCTTCCGAGTAGTTGGGACAACAGGCGTGCGCCACCACGCTCGGCTAATTTTTTTATTTATTGTAGAAACGAGTTCTTGCCATGTTGCCCAGGTTTAGTCGTGAACCTGTGGGCTCAGGCATTCCTCTCACTTCCGCCTCCCGAAGTGCTGGGATTACAGGCATGAGCCACCACGTCCAGCTAGAACTCAAGTACGTAATTCAAAATTAGGCTAGGGTTCCCAAATGAAAAGACACATGGAGGGCCCAGCACAATGAAAATTGGGCCTCAACAATGACAACTGTCATTCAGTTTCAGAACACCAGAAATAATGAGAACACTGAATATGTTTTAGAGAGGGGGGGAAAATAGGTCAAATACAAAGAAAGGGCATCAGATTTATTAGAAGCTAAAAGACAACAGAGCAATGTCGCCAATACTCAGGGAAAGTTATGCCCATCCAATCAACTTTGTTTTGGGGTAAAAACAAAGACATTTTCAGATATGCAACGTCTTGAAATGCTCACTGCTCTCATACTTTTTATCAAGAAGCTACTGGAACATGCATTCCACCAAATGCGTTTAATAAGCCAAAAATGAGCCGGGCTCGGTGGCTCAGCCTGTCATCCCGCGCCTTTGGGAGGCTGAGGTGAGTGGATGGCCTGAGCCCGCGGGTTCGAGACCCGCCTGGGCAGCGAGACCTCATCTCTACAATAAATCAAAAAATCAGCCAGGCGTGGGAGCACCTGCCTGTGATTCCGACTACAGGGAAGGCTGAGGCGGAAGGATCGCCGGAGCCCGGCAGGTCGAGGCTGCGGTGGCCGGGAACGGCCGCTGCACCCCAGTCTGGGCAACAGAGCGAGACTCCAACTCAAAAATAAATAAATAAGCCCAAAATGAGGAAGACATAGGGTCACGGCAAGAGAGTACCCAAAAGATGCGGAAAGGGAAACCTCAGAATGACGGCGAGAGGAAATCACAGCACCTGCGACACAGACAGGAAGGCTCCAGAAGAGATGTCACCAAGGAGATGAAACTGAAGACACTGAAAGATAGTCCACATACTATTTTGCATTATGGCTTTTCACGTTGTGTTTTATTTCCATAAACTAGAGCCAAGACCATTTTTGACCTTTTTTCCTGCACACATTAACTCGGCGCCCTACACCTCACAGTCATTCAAAAAAATTTTTTTATTAGGGGTCACACTCTGTTGCCCAGGTTGGAGTGCAGTGGTCCAGATCACGACTCACCACGTCCTCTAATTCCTGAACTCAAGCAATCCTCCTGCCTCAGCCTCCCAAGTAGCTGGGACTACCACAAGTGCCATCATGCCTGGCTAATTCGTTTGTGTTTGTTTGTTTGGTGAGATGAGTTCACTACATTACCCGGGCTGGTTTTGAACTCCTGGTCTCAAGCAATCCTCCCATCTCAGCCTCCCAAAATGTTGGGATTACAGGCATGAACTACCATGCCTGGTTCAATTTTGTTTTACTGTATATAAATGCAATACCTGTATTTGTGCAGTTTAGTATACACTCTGAAGAAGGTTTTATGGCTGATTTGGAGTACACTAACTTGGGGAACTTCAGTATCCCGGTGATTCTGACCCATTCTGAATGAATGATACTGAATGACACTGATTCCTTTATCTACTTGAAGGCCAAGGGCAGAATCAAGCCACGAAAGGGGGAGAGGGGGCAACGTGGCCCACCGTTAGGCAAGCAGCCTGCAGTCAGGCTGTATGGATCCCAATTCCACTGCATCACTTAACCTCTATGTAATAACTCGGTCGAGTTACTTCATTTCCTCACTTGAAAATGGGTGTTTTGGGTCGGAGTCTCACTCCATCGCCCAGGCCGGAGTGCTGGGGCACGCTCACGGCCATCGCAGCATGGACCTGCGGGGCTCAGGCTTCCGCTTCAGCCTTCCAAGTAGCTGGAACCACCGGCGCGCGCCACCACGCCCGGCGGAATTTTTTGATTTACGTAGAGACGAGGGCTCGCCAAGTGGCCCCGGCTGGTCTCGAACCCCGGGACTCAGGCGATCCTCTCGCCTCGGCCTCCCAGGGTGCCGGGATTCGAGGCGTGAGCCGCCGCGCCCGGCTGGAAAACGCGGCTCTTCTTTCACGGGTTCTTGCGAGGACGGAGCGGACGCGTGGGGCGCGCACTTCAGTTTCCCCGAGCTTTCGAGCCCGGCTGGCCAGCTCTCGAGCCCGAGACGACGGGGAGAGGCCGCGACGTGAGCCAGGGAGGCGCCTCGAGCCGGTTGGCGTCCCCGGCCGCGAGGGGGCAGCATCCCCCAGGGCCCGCCGCCTCGCACCCCTCGCAGCCGGGAGCCCCGCGCCGCGGGAACAAACCCCGCCCCCGTCC